ATGTGATTCAATTAGATGTTGGATTTTTTTTATTTATTAGCCTGAACGAAAGAGAGAATCTCGGTAAAGTAGAACGAGTATACATGCCTTTAGTTGGTGTGATCGGTTACACGGCTGAACAAAATGCAGTGTAACATTTAGGGGCGATATCCTTTCCTGACTTTTGTTAACCGCTACGAAGGAGTTTGCGGCGAGCGGTGCGCAAGAAAAGATCGGCCGCGAGATTGGAAGGTGCAAAAGGCGTGCGGGGAACATAATGGAGGAAACGAATTAAAATGCGAATGATAAAAACTGTATCATCCACGGTGCTGGGGTAATTTTCGCTTTCTTCGTGCCGCCGCGCCGTTACCGCACGGCGCGCATTACGTAAAATGCGCGAGAGGATATTTCTGGACGGCTGGCGAGCGCGCGGCGGGCCCTTGTTAATAAAACACTACACTTTACTATACTGGACGCGATGCCCGTTGATTTAAATAGCCGATTAACTCCTCCGGGCCGGGAGGCGCCTAAAATGCCGTAGAAGTGAGTTATTCATTGCGCTATCGTAATCCCAGGAATGCCGCGAAACCGCTCTTGACATAACTACCTGCTCGATCGATGGTACCGATGAATTATTCATTATTCACCTACGGGGAATCGCGGTAAGAGTAAAAGAAAACGGCGACAGCGCGTAAAAGGAAGAATCGGCTACCGTGTGTGAACCGATCTAATGGTTACATTATCCACATCGGGGACCGTCACCGTCGCCGGACGCCGGACGCGATCGCACGTTACCCAATGTTACTTTCTTCCGCGAATACTTTGTTGCCGTGCGATTATCCGTTGCTCGTTTAGACGCCGAGAGAGAGAGAGAGAGAGAGAGAGAGAGAGAGAGAGGGGGAGGAGGGCAAGAACTGGAGAACAGGGAACGCGAATCTGTTTCTGCGGATAGGTAGGTGGTCGTCCGTCGCTGTTACGCGACCGTGTGTGGCTGCCAGGATATGACCGGCATTCGTAACGTCCTCTTGAAAAACTTTGATATGCGCTGCGCGCAGCGCGCGGAGCATTTCACTCTGATTTCATCCACGGGTGCTCGACCCGCGAGTTATTTATTGGACGCCCGTGCGCGCCCAAGTGAGCTCGACGAGGGGGAAGTTCTGCCGATCGGTGGCCGTGTCGGTACGTTATTGTGGGTCAGTGGTCCCCGGGCCGAAAGACGCCGATCTCGGCGATCGCGCACCCTCAGGAAGGATTTCGGTTACCGGGACGAAAAATGTTCTTGGCGCACTTATATTTTTCGCAACCTCAAATAAGACAGTGTCGAAATAAAATCAATAATTCTCATTCTCCTCTATCGAATTGAAAAAGATTGACTCACTATAATGAGACACGAGTAACTTATGTAAATGTAAGTTTGTATATTCTTGCGTTTAGAATCAATTTTCCCTCGATCTTGGCACCGCGTTATTCGACAAAAGACGATACATACTGTCGTTTTATTCTAAAATCAGAGGATCGACTAACTTCTAGTCAACGGTTAACCAGAAGATGAAAACCCAGGCCTAAAGCCTTGTGTCCACGATCCAAGAACTGTGTCCAAGTTCTAGTTCCGAGAAATGCGTAGCCAATCACCTTGCAGCTTTTATGGAATAGCTGCAGGTTGATTGGCTACACATTTCTCGAAACTAGAACTTGAACCAAGTTCTTGGATCGTGGACACAAGGCTTAAGAGCTAGCGCAAGCTGTTTAAAATAAAGTGGAAAGTTCCTCTTCGGTAGTTGAAGAAGGACAAAAGCCTCGTGCGGGTAAATTAAACTGTTCCGAGTGCACAGAATTCGTTTTGTATCCGTAGCACCGCGAGAGAATTGGCGATTTCGCGCGAAGAAAGAGACGGAGGAGAGGAGGATTCACGCCCGGGTGGCTCGATTCATCTTCCTCCCCGGCCGTTGTCGTCGCGATCGCGTTGCCCGGAGCGGGCACAACGGAGCATGGAAGTAGAGGAGTCTGCGAGGACGCCGGGGCGCAAGTAGCGGAGCGAGTCCACGTCTATAAATCCGTTGGAGTGAACGTGGCCGATGTGTAATATCATATGTACGCAATGTATGATGCGGCGCGCTCTCTTTAACGCCTTATTACCACACGTAGAAGGGCAACTTGCCCGGCAAACGGCGACCCGAGATCGCTCCCCCCTCGGAAGAGGCATCTCGGTCTCCCCGACGGCAGGCCGGATCACAACGCGGAGGCTCGGAAACAATTAATCGACGATACGATCGGCGCTCCGGTTCGCCATAAATCTCGGGCGATTGCGCAAACGTCTATTCCTCCTGGGAAATGAATCGATCGCGCCTGAACGGCGGCGAAAGCGGACGCGGAGGCGCAACTACGTACGGATATCGCACGCGTATACACCGGCGAGTGATTGATTGATTACAGATATGTAAATTTGATCTGTCACAGGAGAGCGCGTGGGCGATTGCTCTCGCGCGTCGCTGCGTCGCCAAATTCTTTTCTGTCGCCTGAAAGACCATTAGACTCGCGCCATTACCTAACCCTCGCGCTATTACCCAATATAATATTCAATCCGGCTGCCTGGCAAACGTTTCTCCATACTTTCCACTAAATTTTCAGCGCGCGATACGCTACGTATCGCTTTTGAAAACGCGGCTCCGCTGTTTGGCCAATGCACTGTGCTACTAGGGTTCGGATCTTCATCCCGATGAGAGGACCAGGCCTTCTTTCCCGCTGGCTCGATCGACCTGGCTAATACAACACGTTGAGTCGATTTTCTACTTTCGAAGCCGTGCACGAGCGCGGTGTTTCAGATTATTGTATTACATTACGTTATTACATTATCTTTGTATCAGGTAACGGCACGAGAGTGCGATCTAACGATCTCTGAAACGGCAGGAGGAATTTCAATTTCAAGACAATGATCCCGTGCAACGGGCTGTAAATGCGGCGGCGGTTCTAAATAATAAATCGTACGATTTTCGCACGAGAGTTTGCCGGCGACCAACGTCGTAGACGACGAGTTTCACCGGCGCGGCGTCGGCAGGTAGGAAAGAGATCCCGTTCTTCATTTCAGACGGTCTCCCCCCGGGGGAATGGACAATTGAAAATGTCGTAGGGTCGGACTTTCGCCTTCACGGCTCGGCGATATAATAGAATCGGGCGTAATAAGACCTACATTTTTAGGCCGTTCACCCGAGCCTCCTTGCCCCTCGCTGCATCCACGTTGGAATTCACGACGAATCTTTCTCCCGTGTACACTTGTGCTTCGAGATAGATCACGTTTCTTCGCGCGCGGCCGCTCATATCCCGGCGCACTTTGTCCGAGAAGTTGTCTCTTGTCGATTACAAATTAGCTCACTTGGACGAGAGGAAAGAATCGCGCGGCTTTTCGCCTCTTTCGCCACAACCCGACGTAATCGCGGCGCGGGACCGGGAGCTTTAATGTCAAACGCGCACGCCTGGACGCCCCGACGTCGGGCGATCTGTATTACGCGTGGCACAATTTCAAAAGGATGTGAAAAAGAATATCTCGCCCAGCGACGTTGGTACAATCCTCGCCGAGCGTGTCCCGCGTCTAATGTCGAAATCGCATTATACGGGCGCTTTCTCGTCCACCCTTAGATCCCCCTGAGCGGCTCCGATAGATTCCAAAATTCGCGTAATCGCGGACTCTCCTAATCTTTCGAAACCCGCCTGATATTGCCGAGAGGATCCCGAGACTTTCGACGGCTCTCAAGGCTGACGGGGACGTCGGAGAGGAGCCTAGCTATTAATACGTCGCCGACATTTAATACGGTATCGATTGCGGATTCAAAGCTCTCCCGCGCGTGGCTTGTGACACGTATAATGTATATGATAATAACGATGAGAGAGAGAGAGAGAGGCGAGAACATACGAGATAAAAAAAAGGAGAGAGAAATTCCAAGGAGCAGCCTCGAAGAATTTGCGTGCCCTTGGCCGATATGCCGTGTTTACGCGTCGATTTCCAAATCTCTACACTCGTCGGCGCGAAAAATCACGCCGATAAAATGACCGTCGAGTCTCGACAGCCCTCGGATCTCGATGGCCCTTGGGGTCCCCACGAGTGCGCGCCGAGAGACGATCCGTTTGGTAGCGGTGGCGGACGGCACCCGACATGGACGGCGACCGCGACGGGTGAAAGTCAAACTAATTACGACGAGTACACGCCGGGCTGTGTGTGTGTGTGTGTGTGTGTTGCAAGAGCCCAGCGCTCAGCTAAAAACGACGACGATTCAACGCCGGGCGAGCGAATACCGGGCCGTTAAACCGGAACACGAACGGGAGCGCGCGCGGCTCTCCCCGGGTCTACTTCGTTCCTAATCTCATCGCGATCTCGCGATTGTAATTAATCGCCTCCTCTCGCGCCGCGGGTAATGTTTGCGCGATGTGCGAATTAATTATGGAGCGACGCGAGGCAGACCATCCAAGTTAGAACCGGGACATTAGCGCGCGAGTCGGAGGGCATTGGTTGATCCGCTCGCTGGTCCGAGTGTATATCGCGAGTATCGCGAATTATCTGATCGTAAAACGGGTCACCCGTGTATTCGGCAATGCTCCTCCGTTCGTGCCCGATTTAACGGACGAATTTCACCGCACGAATTTCACCATACGCGCATAACATCGTTAAAACTTGCGAAAGCATCAGAAAATTCAAACGGCGCGCCGTGATTAAGCCGTTAAGCGGCTTCATAAGAAGCTGAGCGATATGATATACCCCGTTTGTGTTTCGCTCAAAACGTTCATTTAATTTGAAAAGGATTGGGCAAACAGCACTTTAAGTGTTTACCGACGTGTTTACATTCTTTTAATGTTTATAGTCGCTGGATACTCCACGTGTTTCTCATGTTTTGCTCAATTATGACATAAAACGTAAGCCGGGAAGAAACTCTAGAAAGATACCGGGAAAAGTACAGGAGATCTATTCGGATTTCTCGAAAAAGTAAAATTCGTTTCTGATCCGAATTATAAATTTTTCAACCAAAACCTATCATTCTTTTTTTTTTAGAATTGATCTGATTGCGAGTCCCAGTTAGATCGCAGAGAGTTTTGCGCGTGTATTTGATGGATCCATGTTTAAGACCTCATTTGCTATTGGTGGAAAAATATTTTATTTCACATAGAACAATATACAAAATATAATAAGGTATAATGTTTATTTATAAAAAACTATATAAGTGGGACTTTATAAGATGGAACTTTGGCTATATTTGATTAAATGCCTATTTAATCAAATTCCAATGTTTCGTTCCGCGAAATGAAAGTACGAGGAAATTATTTGCGCCTACGAATATGGCACGAATTGTCAGCCGGGCATTAAATTCATTTCTAATGACGTCTAGTATCCTATACTTATCGTAATGATAATTAAACTGCAGAGTTTTTATTAGAGTTTCAATTACGCCACGAATATATTTTTACCTTCGAGTGTCCAGATTCAGTCTTTACTTCCCTATACCGCTTTGCTGTTCTATTTATACCAAACGTGTACTTTTCAAACTCATCTCTGTACTTGTCCACATTGCCAATCGCTGAATTGTCGTTACCGTCGTCGCTATTACTGACATTATCGTGTATCTCTGCCGCGGTAGAATCTTCTACGTTCGAGGGATCGGAATTAAGCTCTACTTGGCCAGGTTCCGTTGTACTTTCGTCGCTATTACTGACATGATCGTGTATCTGCGTCGCGCTAGTATCTTCTACGTTCGAGGGATCAGAAGTAAACTCTACTTGGTCGTATTTCGTTGTTGTTTCGTTTACATGAAATATATTACTTTCATGCTCATCTCTGTGAGACTCGTCCATTGGGTCAGTCCCTGATTCATTATAACTATCTGTGTCATTACTGACATTATCGTGTATCTCTGCCGCGGTAGAATCTTCTACGTTCGAGGGATCGGAATTAAACTCTACTTGGCCAGGTTCCGTTGTATTTTCGTCGCTATTACTGACATGATCGTGTATCTGCGTCGCGCTAGTATCTTCTACGTTCGAGGGATCAGAAGTAAACTCTACTTGGTCGTATTCCGTTGCTGTTTCGTTTACATGAAATATATTACTTTCACGCTCATCTTTGTGAGACTCGTCCATTGGGTCAGTCCCTGATTCGTTATGACTATCCGTGTCATTACTGACATAATCGTGTATCTGTGGCGCGCTAGGATATTGTGCAGTTTGAAAATTATTCACGACAACCGGGGATATTGTAAAACGATTGTAGGGCTCGGTGGATACCTGTGTGGCAACCGGGGATATTGGGTCGCTGGATTGCACCTCGTATCCTAACATCGACCAAAAGTTGCAGGTTACACGATTCCAAAACGCGTTTTTTGCAGAGCAATCGTAGTCCTGCTGGAGCGATCGGCGGCTTCTGTTAGTCGCACGAGAGATCTCACCTTGCGCGGCCTTAGCGGATCTACAATAGGGTTCGCAGCCCTTGCTCTCCGATTTCACCTGG